AATATTCTCCTCCTCCCAATTACGGATTACCCATTCTCATGCATTAAATATGGGCAGTAGTGCTTGCTTCAACGTGCAAGTTAACCAACTCCTATCTTAAATCATAAAACTCACAAAAAGACAACGATGAGATAAAAAATAAAAAAAAAAAAAAGGAAGAAGAAGAAGTCTTCTCACTGTCGAATTTTGAAATATGTACAACGTCACGCATAGTCAATTTGTTAAACAGCTATCGAGCATTAACCTAATTCAAAATCACAACACCCTACTCTCATCTCTTCCAATCAATGTGCCTAATGAAATTAGATTCTTATCAAACATTTACTTAATCGTTCTCTAAAATCCAAAATATTTAAATATATACTTCACTGCTTTATAATGTTTCAACATGTACAAAAGAAAGAAAAAAAACATTCCGATACATCTAATATGAAATTAATTACATTTTGAAATTCTTAAAGTCAGTATAAATAAAAAGAAATCAAATTACGCGTCCACCTCCACCCCCACCGCTGCCCCAATTCTACCAATTGTCCCCCTTGTAAGCACGAGCTTTTTAAATTTTCAAACTTCAAAGATAGGCCACTTTGTCGGCAAAGAATACAATTAATATCTTTCACATTGAAAATAAAATAAAATAATAAATATTGCTAACCCTATTCATCTAACGTGACATTCAATCATTAAAACACAAAATTATACAAAGTAATATAGCCTAGAGACACCTGTTAAATCCCTATAGGTGGTAGGCACAGTAATCTAGGTTAACCCATTATTTATTTTAATTTAAAATATAATTACTGAATCACATACTAATAATTTATGTTTTGTTTTTAAAAATAATTTGATTAAAAAAAAAAAGTCTCCTCCAATTATAGCTGGAAGGAATCATGCATAGCAGGACTTTAATGTGAATTTAATTTTAAAAATTTGGTAAACTTTTTCTTCGAGGAACAGTATTGTCAGATTTTTATTGCTTAATAATTATTTAATTGTGTTAAATGAATACTTAAAGAAAATTCCTTGTTTGCTTATATTAGGAGAGAATAATTATGTATTGACTAAATTTTTTTAATCTGTATTTTAAAATAATTCATAAAACTTGGATCCATGTTTACTTTGGAAGAAAGATTGAAGCTAGGAATCTAAGATAAATAAAAAATAAAAAATAATTCAAGTAAAATAACAAAATTTTACTTCTTTGCTAAGAAATGCTTTGTCGAAATAGTGAATCGTCTTGTAGTTTCAACATTATTTTTGTGTTCGTTTCAATTTCATGTCGTGAAAAAACGTAAAAGTGAAGAGCCATGAATTTCACAGAATTGTAATTGTATAACGATATTAAAATATGTGCGCATATTCAAACAAGTACGGCTGCTAAGGAAATTATAATTAAGACGAAAAACAAGTACTTAAATAATTAATGCAAAGAGCGAATATCCTTTTTGAAATTCAAACTTTTAACGGTAAATTAATGTCAAAATATTTTGAATAAAGTCTCTTGTGCATTATTTTCTTGACATCAAGTTTGACATCATGTGTAAATTCAAATTGTGTTTAGCGGGAAAGTGTGTTGTTTTTAAAAACTGTCCAATGTGATGTCGCCACGTGGTACAATGTCAAATTTGATGTCAAAGTTAGTGTACTTGTAGCATGATTGAAATATGTTAGTTGACTATTTTGATTTATTGCTCACAGCCCATAGATCTGTTTAGAATTTTGTGTGCATGAAGTTATCAATGACGTACTTGTTTTACTCGGTCGTAAAAATTTTTTTTTTTAAGAATTAAATTATCCCATAATTTATTTGAACAACGTTGTAAAAACTGTAACCCTAGTCCCCCCAATGTTTAATTTATTATTATTATTGTTTTTAATGGAACGAGGTTGACGTAATTGAATCCCAAATTTATATATCACTTTTTAATTCTCATAATCAAAATATAAAATTAAAAAATATTACTTGACCTTGTTGAGTAAAATGAAACAATAGGGATTCTAATTTTCTACAGTAAATTAATTCTCATTTTCAACCCCACATTCTTCAATAAAATAATATTTTTCATCACATCAATAATTTTGTCTTCTTTTTCGACCACACATTTTCCATTATATCACTATTCAAAATCAATTCTTCCCCCCAAAAATCCCTACCAAACAAGCTCATAATTTAAATTTGAAAAAAGAGAGAGAGAGAGAGAGAGAGAGAGAGAGAGAAGAAATTTTGTTCACCAAAATCAAAGAACAAAAGCACGTAGTACTTTTTCGGCCTTGAATAAAATCACAAAAAGGTGATTCTCCTAGTCGTCAAATATCTTGTAAAGTCGAATTGTTGGTAAGATTTCATAATCTACCTAGTTGAAAATGTGATAAGATGTCGAGCATTAGGTCATTTGTGAATATGCATCATTTAACGTTATTTGAATAATTTTTCGTAGATGATTAAAAAGGATAAAAGTTAAACATATTCATTGATCTTCACAATGTATCGATTTGTGGCCAAAATGCTAAATGTTTAAACATAAGTTTTAAATTGAAACGACAAGCTACATAATATAACTTCTCATTTTTTTTATTTATTTTTTTAATTGGGTGAAAGTTATCGGAGGAGAAACTACCAGCTTTACTTGATGGAAGCGTTTATATAAAGGAATCAAGCGTCTCTAGTCTAATACCTACAATTTTATACTACGTGCTTTATGATTAAACTTTTATTTGCTAAAAAATCGATCAAACTTCATTTTTAATCACATATCTTATTGGTCCCACAATTTTTATCTATTTTGTCACCACAAATTTCATGACGTTCATCAACTTTTGTAGACTTTTAGCAATGTCTCTTTATAAGTTTATTTTATTATTCCATCATCTGGGATTATGAGATGAAAATATGCTAGAAAACTCGGTGTTGTAAAGTTTCTATTCTGAATTTTAATTTCACCTTAAATGACACACTAAAACTATCTATAAATTTCTTTAACTTCTCAAATTTCTATCTTTTACCAAGGAAATAGAAGTCTTGGAAACCACTGAATATCTTGTGATTAAGATGAATTCGGATTGTTTCACTACTAGAGCGTGTTAGAAGAACATGGGGGTAGGTGTGCTTCGTCCGTGTCTCTAGGCATGGTCGAATGTATTGAAATTTGGTTCGTAATAGCAGGTTCGACAAACTTTGACATATTATTTAATCAGACTCATTAGAATATTACCGGAGTTCGATGGCCGAATGTGTTCTAGTCCGTGAGTAAATTATTGTGATATATTTAGTTTCTTGAACTAATTCCCGATGAACGAGAAACTAATGTCAAATACGAATGATTTAAGACGTTGAAATTGTTTGAAAATCAGAGTAAGCATATGGTGGAATATTCAATAAACCCTATTATAACACATGGAATATACAAGAATAGATTTGACTGAAATATTGTATCTTTTCGTATGAAAATCACGTCTTTTGGACTTCCTACTTTTTAACAAGTGTGTCTCTTCAAATATAGACATATTTCAATAGTTGTGTCACTTTTCAGCAATCCTGGATTCAATGGATTTGTGGCTAAGAGATGTTGGGTTATGATAGACAATTTAATCATGGAATCTCCCCATTTTTTTTTTCAAATATTTCGTGCAACTATTTTATGCAATGAATTTTTCTTATGGCATGCCAGAACTTTTAGTCTTGCAATTACATAGTGATCCCAGTAGAAAGTATTGAGTTTGGAATGAAAATATGTGGCCCAAATAGAGGACTATGACAAAGTGAGAAGCCCAATCCATGTTACATCCTAAACTGTTCCAGTCCCAGCTTCAGAGTTCCAAGTCCCAACTTTCGTATACTTTCAACTGCAACCCTGATGCAAAATAGCACCCAAAGTTCTAATGGTAACCAAGTTTAAAAATTGAGCAATGCTAGATGTACATCGGGGTGTACATCACGGTGTACACCCCCCACACATGGGTAAGGGGCCCACTTGAATATTTTATTCGAGAGGCCCCTATCACATGGGTAAGGGGCCCACTTGAATATTTTATTCTAGTGGGCCCTTCCATGTGAGGTGATGTACATCTAGCATTTTTCTTAAAAATTAATTAAGAATCTTCTCATGTAATCTCAAAAAATTTCGTAATTTTCTTTGGCTATCTTCCTCGTTAATGTGTTTATTATCTTCTGTATGAACCAGATAATTCAGTACTTCAGTTCAGTTCTAATTTGGTTCGAATAGTTCCCGATAAAATGTGCACTCCTAAGCATAATATTAGTAGTTGTAGAGGTATTCATTTGGAATCGTCGAGCCCTTGTTTGTAAAACCAAACCCAATATTCATATATTATAAATCCAATTTCCATGTATTATAATTTGACTTCATTGTACAAGATCAAGTTGAGATCTGTTGTCCATTTGTGTTATCTAATTTACTGTCCACTCAATTACATATTGACACATCATGAAATAATTTGCCTACATTGTACAAGATCGAGTTGAGATCTGTTGTCTATTTTACTGTCTAATTTGTTGTTCACTCAATTATAAATTGACACATCATAAAAAATTAAAATTGATGACAACCTTAATTTTCCATGATACGTCAATTTGCAATTGGGGAGAACAACAAATTGAATAGCATAAATAGACGGTAGATCTCAACTCATACAAGACAAAACATCGTACTTTATATTGTACGCTTCCCTTCTCTGCCTTAGGTGATTATGATTCCGCTACAGAAATTTATGTGACTAAGCTCATGTTTAGTGTAGATTAAGAATTAGCTAAAAATTAAGTTAAATTAAATAATTAATTTTAACCATATACTTCATAGAATCCACAACTATTTAACCTTGTATTTCATCAATTTATATCAAAATCTGTTAAAAATTTAATTTTTAACTACACCAAACCGTGCTAAAAGGATAAATACAGATGAAAAGCTGAAAAAGAAAATGACCCCTAAGACAGAACATAAGTATTGCTAGCAACAACAAAAAGAAGGCTACTAGTAAGATCATACACCACCATTTTCACTACTGGTGGTGGCAGCATCGTCGGGGACGGTTCCGGGACTAGTCTTGATTTGGTTATGCTTCTGAGAAGAGCCTTTGCAAAGGCTAATGGGGTATTTTATTGCATTGAGTTCAATCTTTCTAAGGGCAGCTTTACCAAGATCAATGCCACAAATGTCTGATAACCTAACAAGGTAAAGAAGAACATCTGATAATTCTTCACCTAAATGCAACTTCTCTTGTTCTTCCCAATCAGGTAGGCCTCTTGGGACCTCGCCTTTCCACTGAAATATCTCAGACAATTCTCCCACTTCGCCCACCTGACAGAAAAATGAATTATTTGAATAAGCATTAGCATAAAAAGACACAGTATTAATCTGACCACTATGTGCTATAATAATTAATGGGAAATGTGAGAAATGGCAGAATAGAAAACCCAATTTTTTAGGCAAAATATGTGTACAATGCGCAGGATTAAAGGAGAAAAAGTTGACAAAAAAAGGCAAGATCAAAACCCCAATTTTTAGGCAATATAAAAATGTTAATGTGTGGAGAAAAAGTTAGCATTAAAAGAAAGATTAAAAACTCACATTTTAGCCAATATGGCTGATGGGTAAGAGATCAAAGATGAAACACTAATTGGCCCACAGATTCTATGTGCATGTTCATAAGAGAGAATAACACAGCAATGGCTGTGTATATTGCAAGTTTGAACCTTTTGGAGCCATACTTTGGTTATGAAATTGAGAGAATTTCAACCACTCATTTCACATTATACGAGACGACAACCAAAAGTACATTTATGGAAGCGAAAGAAGAGACAACCTCAATAACATCAAGAGAAACTCTCAAGAAAACCATTGAGACAGATAGAGTTTTATGTCTACACATGAAAACAAAATGGTACAAACCAGAGCCAGAAGCAGATTTCTAGGACTATGGAACTGATCCCAGTCTCTTTCCTTTGCAAAAAATGCCATTTTTTCCTTGAGCTCTTCGAGGCTCAGTCCTCCTTCACTTGATGCTCCTTTCATTTCTTCTCTGTGTTGTTGGGGTGGCGCCGCCGTGGTTTGGGTGTTGCTCGGCTTCTTCAAGAGGGACAGGGTAGTGAGCGTGTATAATGTGGAAGGAGCATAACGTCAAATTAGGTTTTAATATTCATGACGTCATAACACAAATTAGGTTTTAATATTAGCCTCATAATTTTGGTATTTTCAAATGGACAGGTTAAAAATTCTTCGCTTTGGTCATTCAATTTTATTATTATTATTATTTTTTAAATATCAAATTAGTTACTCAACTTTTACAATAATTTCAATTTTAATATTGGATAATTATGTGCGCACCCAATTATTTTTCACATAAGCATGTAAGAACACTCACATGGAGGTGGGCCCCATGTGAGTAGAATATTGAAAAAAGAATGACTTTAATATTTAGGCACTCCGTCCACAGTCTATCTTTTAAATTAATAAATTTAATATACGCAATAAAAAAAAAAAGACGAGATCACAAAATTCCAATAACTCATTATTTGGTTATCGAATTTGATCTCCATCACTTCACCACTTTTAAGTTTATAGAGTTATTTTTCTTTCGTCGAAATCTTGAGTTTTCAAATTAATCACTAAACTTTCATTTATTTTTTCATAAAAAATAATAGACAATGCTCTTGTGATCCTAATAAGATTGACATTTTCATATAAAATCCACATTGTAGTATACATTTCATAGCATTCATAATTTAGTTGATAGATTAACGAAAGGGTGGTTATATTTTTTTTATAGATACACCACATTTTAATTATAATAAATGTCATTAACCTTTATTTATTATCATACTTATATCCTTATCGTTTTTTCATCATAATTCTTATTTTTAATATTTGATTAATAAAAAAATATTGTTGCTAATTATGGTTTTCGTTTAAAAATATTATTAACGTGATTTAAAATGAGGGGTCAAATATTAATCGTATTTTTACATTATTATTGATTTTGCTTATATAAAAATACAATGACAAATGAGTATTTTCACTATATTCTAAATATAGTATAGTTATTAAAAATTGTGGTGAAAAAAAATTGTAGGAACAATTTATATTAATTTGAGAATAAGAATGTGGTGAAAAAAGTTTCAAGACATAAATATGATAATGTGTAAAAAACTATGAACCTTTCATACAATTAAAATATAGTATAGTTATTAAAAATTGTGGTGTAAATATATTTAGCCTCAATAAAATTATTTAAAGTGTCTTGATTAGTTAAGTGACACAGGCATGTTTAATAAGTGCTTATAATCATTGTTCTGTTATTGTTTAATGTCATTAAAGTGGATTCTTAACGTAAAGCTTCCCATCACTTGATTTCTTTAATTATTACATCATCATCATCATCTTCTTCTTCTTCTTCTTTAAAAAGGGGAAAAAAAAAAGGAAATTCGCAATGATTTGTGTTCATTAAATTGGGACAATTAACAATATAAACATTATTTCATAATTTAAATATCTTAACACTATATTTGTCGGGTCCTTGCCTGGAAAACTAATTTTGAATTGGAAATGTAAAAGTGTGATGTAAAATGATTCTTTAAGAGGATTGAATACAAAGATGATGGAGATTATTTTCCATTTGTCTTTCAATCTAAATCTAGAGATACATTTCATTTTGATAGATTTAGATTTTCTATTTGAATCCAAAAATAAATCTTTTCCTTCTTCAATTTATTGATGCAATAATAAATTTTGAATTGGAAATGTAAAAGTGTGATGTAAAATGATTCTTTAAGAGGATTAAATACAAAGATCCGCTTTGTATTTAAATATAAACTGTGATAGAAATTATACTTTTGATGAATTCTACAAATTTTTTTACTGATTCTCGAACTCGAATGATTACGACCTGCAATCCTAGGTGTCTAATTGTCCAGCCTCCAATAGTAATCCAAACAAAAAACAAGAATAACGATTAGAGTTTTATTTTCTTGTGCTAGTAATAATAATGAATTTTCTCATACTGTTTTCAAATCCTAACATGTTATTAATATAAGTCCAGGGTTTGGCCTGTCTCTTAAACTTAACACTGTCCAATATTTAATTAATCAAATTAATTAAATTTGGTCCATGAATTAATTAATCCAATTAATTAGTTCGGGTATATTAATAAGTAACTAAATTAATTAATTATTCAACACTTATCAATTAATTACTTAGTAAAAAATATTATTCTTCTAATTCTCTTTTGTGTGTGACCCATTAGTTTCTTAATCACGGTACCTAACGATGTGAATTATTATTTTGATCTAAACAAAATTAATAAATTAAAATACCCCTTTTAATTTATCACAAATTCATATATGTCGTCCCATATTGACATCTTGCTATGTGTCAGGGTAATACATGTGACGAAAAATGTCACGTGGTATGACAAAATCAAACTTGTCAGTTTACCGTGAAACTAAAATCTTTTCGTCAATATGATCTGATCAATTACGAGATATGGATATGTGTCAATCTCAATCTCAATCATCGATCATATATTTTATCCCACTGTTAAGTCAATGTAAGTCGAAAACTCATTTTCGACTTACAAGTTCACTTTGACCAATAATTTCATTATCAACTTAATTAGATAAAATGTAGATCATAATCTCTTACTATCTAAGAGTGACGAATCTAAATCATTCACAATTTTCGTATGATTCTTGACATACCCGAACGATGTTGTATTAATGATCATTGGTAGAGCAACATCCAATATCACCAATATATGACTGTTCTCATATAAGGCAGTATGATGACCTCAAATCAAAGGACCAATTCCACTACCGAACATTAGAGATTAACCACTGATACTCTAGATAGTTATCCATGTGAAATCTCCCAACGGGTCTCCAATGTTTTGTTCTATTACAAAACATCCACGTGTTCATTCAAATGTCACCACACTTTAACTTGTGAAATCAGCTACTTACTTTACAAGTAAGAAATGTCACACATGATGGTCTATCCGTAATAACGATATCCGTATCTCGTTATTACATATGACCAAGGCGATTTAAGATTTCATCATATGTAATTTGTATCTCACAATCACAATTCCTTGTGATTAATAAATCACTATGACTTGAATCTAAGGATTCTATTATTTAATTTATTAGAATATTAATTTAATTAAATAATAGATATTTTCATAAATATGCATTGGTTATATATATTAAAAGTGTTTATATCTAAAGTTGATTGGATTTATAGCATAACACTTACAAACTCCCACTTGCACTAGATCTAATCACTTATATATCTTATACCATAAGAGTCTACATGACGATCATGTTTATGCTGCGATAACTCTTTGTTAGTGTGTTATAACCAGATCTATAATGGAATCTGAGTTTATAGCTTTAGATAAATGTGGTGAAAATGCTGAGTGGTTACGCAACTTCTTAAAGGATATTCCAAGATGGTTAAAACTTGTGCCTTCAATTTGCATATATTATGACAGTCAATCAGCGGTTGGAAGGGCATAGAGTAACATGTATAATGGTAAGTCTAGACATATACGTTGTAGACACAATACCATAAGATAACTACTCTTAACTGGAGTTATCATTATTGACTACGTAAAGTCAAAAGATAACATTGCGGATCCGCTAAACAAATGGTTAAATAGAGAGTTAGTTAAAAAATTATCGAAATGAATGAGACTTAACCCCGATAATTTAATACAAAAGAAACATAACCTAGTTGACTGGAGATCCCAAAATCTAGGTTCAAATGGGACAACCTAATTGTAAAGACTTAATAGAATCACTATGGGGAATGTTAACTCCTGTCTATTCCTATGATGCAACAGTGGTGCCCATAAAGATGAAGGATAAGCAATAGGCTTTTAATAATTCTTATGCATCGAAATTTGAGCCAAGTAATGCGGGTTACTTGCAATAAGAAATCACCTATGTGAGAGAGAAGTGGGGCCACTTCTAAAGGAATTGTGTGGAAAAAAATTCTTGTGAAGTCTCACAGAACCAAGCTTATGTTCATGACCATAATAATGAGAACTGAAATGTGTTAGGAAGAATCATGTGTGAAGTATATCATCATTTACATAAATGGAATAACAATTCAAAGACATCGCGTCTATTGGTCAGCTAGTAAAGTAAATATGCTTTCACAGAGAAATGTTCAAAGGGTAATACCTACATATCCTGTGTAGGTTTCAACCGTTGAGCTTTATCACCAGGTCTTTTTGTTTCACATTTGTGTCTCTCCCAATTTTCATTCATGTGGGGAATTGTTGAAAAAAATGAGCATATAGCTGACCTTGGCATAATTTTTGAGTGGGGACCCATTTGGCTATTTTGAAAAATCAAGATTGATTTGTGTTTTCCTCCGTGAAGGATTACACTTTAGAATTGTGTAATATAGAGGCTCTTTCCAAGTACGTTCGCAGGGGGTGCAAATCATGGACCGAAATATGCTTCGAACCTTGAACTTGTGTGCGGGCACGACCTACGTATACGAATGTCGGACAGAAAAGAGCAAAATTGACCCCTTAGGAGTGTCCATGTTTTGCTACATTTATATTTTTGAACTGATTTTTCATTTTCTAAAACTATTAAAACATATGTGGTAATTGCCATGATATGAATGACAAGTTACAAGATCTAAGTCTTTATATATCTCGATTTTTTTCAATTTTCAACACACGAATTTCATTTAAAAATTCATCTGCATACAGTTCGAGTTTGTCTTCATCTTCAGTTTCTATTTCAGTCTTTGTGGTGATATTGTTCGAGCACTAACTCAGTTCGTCAGAATAAAATCTGTGGTACTCAGATTCTACTATTCTGCCATTGTATCCCGGGAAACAAACGCTTAAATTATACATCAATCACTTACGGTGAGGAGACTAATTTGTTTTAAGGAAACTATGTGTAACACATGTCTCGGGTTAAAAGTTTATTACTATTTCTTCATTATTATTTTCTTGTTATTTCTTACTGTAATTAATAAATCATTGGGTTTGTTATATATATAATTTAATATGTTATAATACGAAAAACAGTATGTGTAAATACGGTGTTTAAACCAACTGCATATACGGTATTCAAACTGCAAATCCGGTATCAAGCTATATATTCGGTATCCATTTTGCATATACGGTATCCAAGTTGTAAATCCAGTATTTAGTATATAAATCCGATATCCAGTATGTAAAATCGGTATCTAAGTAATTGAAACACTTTTCTAACAGGGAGAACTAAAGAAATTGGTGGAAGAAGGTAAGATAAAATATATAAGCCTATCTAAAGCCTGAGCTTCGACAATTAGAAAAGAATATGCTGTTGATCCAATTACGTCGGTACAGTTGGAGTGGTCTTTGTGGAGCAAAGATTCAGAGGTAGAAATAATTCCTACTTTCAGGTTTAATGATAATATTGATATTTTTATATTTTGAGCCAAAATGTAATATAAAATTTAACACGATCTTTACTGAAATTGTTTAGGGAACTTGGCATCGGATTAGTGGTATACAGTCCTCTTGGACATGATTCTTCTCTTCTTGTGCAAAGGTGGTTGAAACTTTGCCTGAAGGAGACTTCCGAAAGGTTTGTATATACTTAACATTTCAAGTTTCAAATTATGCATGTTCATCCATTATCCTGCATATTATTGATAACCCTTTCCCAATTTGTAATATTTAACTAAACCATTTGGATTTACAAAGATCAGGTTAATTTCATCTCCAATTTTATTTATTTTTTATTTATTTATTTATTTATTATTTTTTAATAATGCTCTGATTCTTTTTACTTGGTTTTAGGTTTGACTTCAAAAGATTGCACTTTTTATTTTGCAGTTACAACCAAGATTCCAACCTGAGAATCTGGAGCATAATAAGAATTTGTTTGAGAGGGTCAATGATATGGCAAACAAAAAGGGATGCACCCCATCATAGCTAGCTTTGGCTTAGGTTCATCATCAAGAAAGTGACGTGTGTCCCATACCTAGTACTACGAAAATTGAGAATCTCAATGAAAACATCCGATCATTGTCTGTAAAACTGACAAAAGAAGACATGGCTGAGCTCAAATCTATTGCTCCAGCTGATGCAATGAAGGGTGATAGATATGGATCTAAAATTCCTACATGGAAAAATGCAGACACTCCTCCTTTGTCTAATTGGACAGTAGCTGCATAAAGAAAAATAGCCTTTTCTGTATGCTAATATTACCTTAGGAGACAATTTATACTCGTTCCCTTCACTGTTGAATTGCAGTGGTCGAATAAAATTAACAGTACATGTTATAAAAAAGCAATCATTACTAGAAATTGTGTTCCCTTGTCATATACTCGGACGATGAAATTGCGGAGAAATGCATTGTTTACAATACATGCATTGTAAAAAGAGCAACACGGTATTGGATTTGTTGACGTTGAAAATTGCAAGGCCATACTACGAGTATTTAAAACCCACTGTAAAGGGAATGTTGGTCGCTACAAAAGTACGAGCCAGTTATCCCAAACGAGCTTACTGGTGCGAACTGGGCAAAAGAGAATGCATCAACAAAGTTGTGACAAGAAAGGTTGAAATCCACACCATGTACATTTCCAAAAATTCAAGCCTTCAAGAGCCAAATTCTAAGTCAACTAGGTTACCTGATAAAGTCACGTAAACGTGGGACAAGAAAAGGTTAGCAATAGTGCGGAAGCAATTTTGTACAAGCTGAAAGTGGATCAAATTCTATAGGAACGTTCACATTCCGGCTAACTTAAATTTTGTCCCGTACCCTTGAATATATGAATAAATTGATTCTCTCTTAAACTAGTGACATTGGTCCCAAAAAGTGATAATGTGAAAATAAATAGTATCAGAGTTTCAATAATAAGCAGATTTATGCATTAATTTAACTGTATAGGGATTGCACTTGTGTGCTGTTCTAGTCTGGATTCTGAATTAATTTCTGTTGATTATTTTTGAGTTAATTTCATAATTAATGTATAAAGTTTAGGAGTTTGGGAGAAAGAGAGGTAGTGTAAAAAGGGATCATAGATGAGTTTTACTATAGTTCTTTGTCTCGGAATTAGCTGGCAGTCGACCGTAGAGACCTATACGGAAATTATCTTCAAGCAGCCGATGGTGAAAATGGCTTTTATACAAGTCCCAGAACCCGTCTCTGTCAAATGCACATAGAAAAAGATTAAAAATAAAATTTGCAAAATGAAAATTTTTAAGAGTGAAAATCTTGACGAATATACTTGATAGAAACAAGGAATCTACAGGAAATTGAAGCCAAACCTGACTTGAGGAAGTGCGAACAAGGAATAGCACTTAACATCTGTGTGCATGTCGAGCACAATCACTGCTAATCGAGATAGGCACAGCGCTTCCATATTGATTAGTTTCTTAATCCTGTATAAATTTGAAAAGAATTTAAAAGATAAGTTACAAAAATGGCTAAACCAATTAACCAAAGAAGATAAATAGCTAACTGTTGTATTTATGGTTAAAATACTACTCTTTCTTCTATATATGAAATTTTCTCAACAATGCAACTTCTTTCACTACAATGTGTAATTTTCCAAACCTAATGCACATCAATTTCAGAATGAGGCGATCTCCATTCAGGAAGTTTCGAATGAAAGCTAAATTAGGCACATGATGCAATTAATATACAACTTGAAGTCTTGAATACTTTGAAGATACGCCCACGAATCTGGATTTCAAGAATGTATAGTGAACTTGGGAAAGATGCAACGAGCTAATAATAATTAAAATGAAAGGCTAGATGGAAATTTTCAAAACTATGCGAATCTATGCTAGATTAAGCGTGAGGAGATTAGTGGCGACTCAATTATTGACAAGTCCAGAAAAAGGAACTCAACCATTCTTCCATTAAAAGCTGCTGTTGACTCCATCAGTTTAATTACTCACTTCTAGTTTCCAAAAACAAAATTTTGTTTGAAAGCAAAGAATATAATTTCGACTTACATTTGACAACTATCGTAATCTAAAACAGTCTGTCTTAATTAAAATCCATAAAAGATTCAAGGTGACACTTAAAACTGGCTATTTCACGGTAGTTAACAGTCATCAAAATCCGTTCATGGGATTGGTTACACAGAATAGATGGGATCATAGATTGTATAATTCTATTTATTTCATATTCCTACATATTTTACATCATGATCAATTATACATTAATTATGCACGCATCGAGCATGCACTTTAACAAGTGGGAGAGTTTTGTACATAATCAGGTTTTGTAATTTTATTATCTATGTTGAGTTTAAAGGCCGAACGAAAATGATTTTATTAACAAAAATATTTTCTTTACTAACGCACACCTTGCACTTTCTCTCTTGCATACTCACTCGTTTTGCACTCTTTCAATTACACACTCAAATACATTACTTATGTGTTGAGCGCACACATACAGATATATATAGACATTAGATTCTTCTACACAAAGATTGATGATTCTAAATAATTCTTTAATGGCGGTGGATAATAGATAATTCTAGCGGCTTCCAGTATGCGGTGGTGATAGAATCTTCTAGGCTTAACTGAAATTTATTTTGTCTAGAATTTTCCATGAATGGCTGTGAGCTTTAATTTCAGCAACTTTCAGATTCTTTTTCAATGTCGGTGCTGATTCTTCAATTCTCCCCTTCAGCAACGACTTTTCATTTTGACTATTTTCTTCTTCATCACGTC